TGATGATGAAGATGATGATGATGATGATGATGATGATGATGATGATGATGATGATGATGGCGATGATGGTGATGAAGGAAATGCTGATTATGACGAGTGGCGACGAAGATCAGGCAAGATGTTGATGATGATGGTGATGACGATGATGATGATGATGATGAGGGTATGCGAGAAGGACTGCGCGGTGTGTCCTGAGGAATCAAAAACCTCACTTGGGACGCTGGGGCGACCAAAAATGAACTATACATAGCAACAGCAAAAAGACAGAATACTGAGGAGGGCGGTGCATGGGGAGGAATGTGTAGTGTGGTGCCCGGGAGCGGGGAGGACTAGCGGCATTGAGTGAACCGGATGTGGAAAAGAGTCGGGCGCACTGGGGAAGAGATGGAAGCACTGGGAAAGAACTGCGGGGGCGGGCTGGAGTAAGGATGATTTGGAATGAGTATGGAGGACGCTGGACCAGAAGCGGAGGTGTGGGGGAATTGCAAAGAAGACAACAAGAGCAACCTCGTGCGGGGGGTGAAGAGGTGAGAGGGAGGCGGAACCATGGAGAAGCTCCTGCTATCCCCCCCTTCTCCCTCTCATCGGTCCTCTTCCTCGAGCCTCCACCCCCTCCTCGAACCTCCTGCTCGCCCTCCTCGGTCATACGAGTCATACTCGACCCTCGATCCTCCTCAAGGATCCTTCTCCCTCCTCCTCGTCCGCCTTCTTCTGCTTCTCGATCCTCGATCCTTGATCCTCTTTGATATTCCTCCACCTCCTCCTCCTCCTCCTCCTCGCTTTCCTAATCCTCCTTGTCGGTGCTCAATCCTCGATCCTGGATCTCTCTCCTCCTCCTCGGTCCTTCTCCTTCATCTCGGTACTCGCAGTCCTCCTCTCCGTATTCGATCCTCCTCTTCGATTCTCGACCCTCGATCTTCGATCCTCGATCTTTTTGTTGAGCTCAACGCCCTCTCTGCCAGGTGGCACAGTGCAATCGACCAACCCGTTGGGTCGAAACGAGCGGGCTCATGCGGCGGCGACAAAAACAATCGGTTCGAAATGCTCTGCCAGGCGTCCAGTTGCCGCTTCCAGCCTACAGCCGGAGGTCCGCTGGCGGCCATGACACCTCCCTTAAATCCTCTGTTCCTCTCCTGCTCTCCCCATCCTTCCCTCTCCCACACCCTTCCTGCCTTGCGCTCAAGTCTTTTCACTGCAGGCACACCAGAACACCGCATGCCACGCTGAAGTCCCCCCGAGCCCGCTGCACCCTGTCTGCGGCCTGTCAGCTTGCTGACTGTTCGCGGCGCCGTCGGTCAGCTCGAAGAGAAGCAGGAGAGCATGCGGTGAAACTCCCGTGGCCCCACCCCTACCTGTCCTGATGTGCATGATGGGCGACGATCTAAAACGGGTCTTGCGCAAGATGGCACAGCGGCCTTACGCCGAAGCTTACGCGGGCCGCCCACGCGGCACCCTACAATGGAGACGACGGCGCTTACGCGCCACCTTACGCGGGTCGGCGCAAACGACCCCGTTTTTGTTGCGTCACACCCGTAAAACCCCAACGGTCGTGATATAAACCAACAAGTCGTGAAACATATGTTGGCATATCGAAAAACATGCGTACACTAGAACCACGCACTCGTTTCGCGCGCGCTCAGATTCTAATCAACGTTGCTCCACGTTGTTCGGCCATCGGGTCCGCTCTCCCTCGGAGACATCAAACCACACTCACTCATGCGCGGGTGTCCGTATAGCGCAGATTGGGTGCACAGCGGGCACTTCTGACGTGCAAAGGGAAGAAGTGGGGAAATCTTCAAGATGCACGTAACAAGCCACGGGAAGAGAGGACGATCTAAATTTCGCAAAGGTCATGCAACAAACACGTTGCGGGAAGAACGTGCCGGAACAAGCTCGTATCCTCCGTCATTTTCAATTCGGGGAGTTGGCATCGCCACGAACTTGCGAGGATATCTGAGGCGGTCGAATGTTGAGGACGGTCCGGGGCCTGGGAAAACAGTAAGGAGGAAACTCAGTTGGACTGCCTCGGGAAAGCGGCAATCGGGGTGGGAAAATCACGTTCCGGTGGGAATGTTCCAGAGCGCGGTTCAGAGTCTGCCGGGGAATTTCTGAAAGGCTGTCCCTAATTGCCTTCGGGACCTCGTGGGCCGTAAGAAGCGCCTCATGGGGTTATGTTGGGGGCTGATCTGGGAAGAAGATGGGAAGTAAAGGCACGTTCTGGCGGGAGTGCTCAGGAATGTGGCTGAGTGCCTCTTGTGAGGCCTCTGGAGAATCTCATTGGGCAACTTTCAACATCTTCTTAGTGTCATCGTGCAAGCGCGTCGCACCGCAGTTAGTGAGCGAGCGAACGCACCCTCGCTAGCATCAATTCCCGTCGAAGCTGTCGGTGTGTATGTGCCTGTGTGTGCGTGTGCGTGTGACTGTGTGAGCGAATGTTAAGGTGTGTTGCGTGTTGTGCGCGCATGGGTAAAAACAATTGTGTGTTGTGTGTTGTGTGTGTCATGTGTGCGTGCGTAAATCCCGCGTCAATCAAGAAACCAGAACCGGGAACCCGGAGCCCAGAATCCAGCTGAGAGCCGGCATGCTGCCTGCAAGATGCAAACCATGGCCGAACCCGGAAAACGCAACCCAAACCCAAAACCAAAATATCTGGAATGGGAAGTCCAACCCGGAACCCAGGACCCGGAGCCCATGACCTGGAACCTGGAGAGTTGCTGAACGTGCGCATGTTGCGAAGACAAGAGTTCGACCCCATTGAATCGCCAAGGAGGCGAGCGGCAAAAGGAAGAATTGTTCATGAAGCGTTTCAAGTTCGAGAAATAGTTGTGTTAAAAAAGGACGCGTGCTAAGGGGGCTGTCTTGGAGCGTGGGAAGCTCGAAAAGAAGGATGACGTTAAATACCACGAACCCACAATGTGATCCAATGACTTTTGCATCCTGGGGCCCTCTTGAGAGTCCTCTTGGGCGCTTTTGTGGTGTGGTCTTAGGGTCCCCTGGGGGCTATACTGGGCGTCTTTGAACGCTCCTGGGCTGTCTTGGAGGCCTCTTGGACCGTCCTTTGAACTCTCTTGGCGCATCCTGGGGCCGTCTTCGGCCTCCCGGCGCGATCCCAGCGCGCTCCTGGGGCCTCGTGGCCCCGATGGCGCGTCCAGGGGCAACCCTGGGAGTCACCAGCCCTGTCCGCGGGCGTGTGCACATATACATACATACATGCATACAGACATACATACAAACAGACTGACTGACTGACTGACAGACATGCATGCGTACATACATGCACACATGCACATGGATGGATATATAAACACGCATTTTATACTAATGTATATATATATATATACGCATACATACATGCATACATACATCGTTATGCATGTGTAAACTACTACAACCACGCGCGCTGCGCGTGCGCGTAGGTTTCAGCCGACTGCGTAGTCGTTGTCACTAGGCTTTGCGCTAATCCACGAAAGCCAATATTCCAAAAAAGACGTCTCCCTATAGGGCCGCGAAACGCGTGAGTGGCGTGCTGGAAGACGAGCCGCTAGCATGCGCGCGTGGCCACTCGGGCATTCGGTGGAGCTCCCTATGGGGCCACGACACGAGTGAGGTGCGTGCCGAAACGGAGCCGCCCAGCATGCGGGCGATGTCACTTGGGCGAGCTCCTGCTGAGGCCACGAAAAGCGCGAGGGGTGTGCCGAAATTGGCGCGGCGGCGCCATGTGGGGGCGCGAAACGTGTGAGGGGTGCGCCGAAATGGGCGCGCCGGTGCCATGCGGTCGCGCCCATTCAGACCGTTGGCGAAGCTCCCGAAGGGGAACGACACGCGTGAGGGTTGTGCCGAAATGGGCGCGGTGGTGCCACGCGGTTGCGCCCACTGAGACCGTAGGTGGAGCTTCCGAACGGGCACACAACGTGTGAGGGGCGTGCCGACATGGGCGCGGCGGTGCCATGCGGTCGGCGCCCGCTGAGACCGTAGGAGGAGCTCCACAGAGGGCACGAAACGTGCGAAGGGTGTGCCGAAAGGGGCGCGGTGGGGCACATGCAGTCGCGCACACCGACACCGTACTGAGAACTCCCTACTGGGGCACAAAACGTGCGAGGTGTGTTCCAAGATGGACACGCGGAGAGCAGAGGCAGGTAGATGGAGGATGGGGAGGAGAAGGTGGAGGAGGAGGAGCAAGGAGGAAAGAGGAAGGACGGATGAAGGAAGGAGTGGGGCGCGGCGCTGCGAACTCAAAACGAGGACCCAACTCCACAGGAGGGTGGGGGAAACTCTATCCTCGAACTTCTGTGACAACCCATGGGCGAATGCATTGCCAGCACGATGGAAAAATCGTGCGGTGCACGACTCATCGCCACCGCGACAAGTACCGATTGACGAGTCTCCTCTCGAGACATGAATGGAACGCCTCGCGCGCTTCTGGACTCGCTGACTCCCCGCGGCCCGACGCCGCAGAAAAAAGGCAGCATCGTGAAACATCACGACGACGATATCGACGATGACGTCGACGACGACGTCGACGACGACGACGTCGACGACGACGTCGACGATGACGACCACGACCACGACCGAGAGGCTGCGCCCCCGAAGGGGGCCACGAGGGGCGCGGCGGCGGCGGATGGTGTGTGTGTGGGGGAGGAGAAGAGGAGAGGGGGGACACGATCGGGCACGCCCAGATCTTGGTGCTTATGATATCATACGAAGGGTACAGCATTGCCGCGCGACTTTTCGTGGGGAAAATGAGAAGTAGCCCCTCACACGGTTGCTGTGCAACCATGGAAGTAAACCAGGACTGCAAAATGGCATGGAATGGCATGAACATGAAATGACATGAAGAGCGGACACACTGTCGAAGCCAGCGTGCCTTCAGGTAAAGGAAAAAACAACTCAGAAGGATTGGAAACAAATCATCCATTTTCCCTATGCCCGAATGCTGGAGAGCTGATGCCAGCAGCAACGAGCGCAAGCCACCGACGAACAACTTGCGTTGCTGTCCGCAATCAGTCCATTTGGTGGACCCGCTTCTCGAACTCCGAATAGACCACTTGGTGAGATGCGCGAAGACTGTGTGGAGCGTCCGCCCAACACATCGGGAGTGCTTCTGCACAGCTGGTCCTGAAAGCGGGCGCAACGCTCCCTGCCAGTGGGCCAGTGAGGAAGCCGCAGATCCCAGCGGCGACGCGCGTGGGCACGTTGCCTGCGGGAATGAGAAAGACGGCACCTACGCTAGCCACCGCACCGAACAAGGCGCACATGAAAGCACCCACGCCCTGAATCGAGTCGAGCAAGTCCGTGATGATAAAGCCCGAGTTCGACAACTTGACCATGGAGTACGTGAACCACGCCGACTTCACGTGCGCCCAGCTGATGAAGTATTCGAGAATGTCGCCGATGCACGTGATGATGCAAGTCACAATGTACATGACAACGCACAAAAGGTAATTCGCGTCTTGCGTACGGCCTAAGATGCGATGGGATCTGACACACGAGATCGATAGGGACAAAGACCCAACCGAACGCATCGACATTAGCGTGGTGGAGTGACACCGACTCGGGATAGGATGATCATGAAAGAGATGTCCACCTCCTCACCAGCACCAGCGCAACACGCACGACGCGTAGCACATCCCCACGAAGAAAATTATGGCACCCGAGCCCATCGTCCTTTCAACTGCACCGAGGAGAATCATGGTGGTGCCCGATAAATGCATAAGGCATGGGTGAAGAAAACGTGGAGTACACGTCGGGCCCTGGAAACCAGTGGGCACCCATCAAAAAAGCAAGGAACACACACATGTACAGTCTCCTCCCGACGTCGACCTCGTCGTGGCGTTCCTCCGACGCCACCATCAGCGCGGCAAAATACGCCTTGTTGTCGTCCAGGTCCCGCGTACCCTCAAAGTTGACTTTTGTGAGTTGGTCGAGGTTCTTGCGGCGTTCCCCGCCCCTATGCCGCCAGCGGCTGCCCGAATGTGGCGCCACTGCTCGAATACGCCATGCTTCCCGCGCAAAGGAGAAGGAGGAGGGAGAACGAGGTGGAGGAGGAGTAGGAGGGGGAGGAGGAGGAGGGAGGGGGCGGAGGAAGATGCGTGAAGAAGATCACGTTGCTCCCCTCGCACTTCAGGACCATATCCCAGAAATAAGTTCGAGTCGAAACAGTATCCCAGGGCCCGACGCGTGAAAGCCCTCCAGGTTCGGTACTTCTTTGTGTTCGGAATTCTCTCTGGTGGTCACGGATAAAGTAGGTTGGAACATCATAAGAATGATGCAATGAGTGGGGCCAAGGGACAGCCCAGGACCAGAGAGAAGGGAGATGTGCAGCGGGGAGGATGCAGGAAACCAAACAGACACTGCTGTCGCGCCGAGCGGTTCGATCTACGTAGTAACCAGGTATCCAGACAAACGTGAAGACCATCCAACTTAGCGGGTACAGCACGTACGGGATGGATTTCATCACACCGACGCTGTCGCCCTCCCCCACAGGGGTCAGAATCTGTCTCAGCTCGTCACTTGAACTGCATCCCTGGCCGTTGAAATCAACTTCGCACATGCTCAAAACGACCAGTTGACCAGCGGACCGTTGAGCAAGTCAGAAGGTGTCGTTGTCAGAATATCCTTACCTTTCACTGACGTGCAATTGGAGACCGTGTATACTGTCGAATGGACTGCCTCAATTACTGGCTTGAAGATGGTTACATGTAATCCGTCATTGCACTCAGCTTGTCGCTGTCTGTGGTGCTCACCATAAACTTGTCGTAGTCGGCCTAGTGGACGATGCACTCTGGGTCAGTCCCCCAAAGCCTCTGTACCACTGCTTCTCAGTGACCATCCCGATCTTGATCTATACCACCGAGCCTAACAGGCCCGCAATGATGATGAAAGGGATCTTGACGGGGTTCAGAGGAACCACTGCCACCTTTTGCTCGAGGCTCCAGGGGAGCAAGCGCTCGTTTTTCTCTGCACGTATTCTCTCTTTTTCTTCTTATTATTCTTCTTCCCTCTTGGCCTCTTCCAGCTCTTCCTTGGTGGGCCCTGTTTCTGCCTTCTTGCCGCCAAACCCAACGAACGGCATGAAGGCGGAGGAGGATGGGGAGGAGGAGCGGCACGGTGCGACTCGGGCCCCGTCGAAGGAGAGTGAGACCTGCTTCGGCAATCGGGCGGGGCTTGAGCCGCGGGCGTTGGCAGGGGCCTGTAGGGGACATGATGGGTCCAAGCTCGCGGCATGTTAACGTCTTGAGGCTGACCAGAAACCATATTGGGTCGTCGTGGACAACTGATGGAGCTGTCTTGGAGCTTGGGCTGATCTTGAGCTCTTGAATGGGGGGGGAACCAGTCGGTTGGGCGTGGGTGGTTTGACGAGTAAACTATTATAATATGATCCGTTTCTCCTTCGGGAAAAGTTCATCTCTCCCCCATGCGTACCCCGTCTCCTTCGGAGTAGATTGGGGAGGGGGGGGCGCGGGTTGTTGGGGCGTCCAAGATAAACCAACATGGCCTCGAGAGGTAGCCCAAGATGGATCAAAGTGGCTTCCAACACGCCTCCAAGAGGCGCCATGGCCGTCCAAAGACGGCCCCAAGTGGCCACGGAGCCTCTCAAGGATCCCCCCGAAAGGCCCAACCCGTCCAACGCCACAAGAACATCAATGTTGTTTACATTGTCGCCCTTTGGCGTCTGGTGGGCTCTTGAGGCCTCAAGATGACCCCAAGATCGCCCAAGAGAGCTCCAGGCGGGGCCCAAGCGGGGCCCAAGAGGGCCCCAACACGGCCCCAAGAGCGCCCGACGCCCTAACAAACCATTGTTCGGCCTCCGAGTTGGGGACCGGAATCGAGAACCCCCTTTCCTGTAATCGATGGCCCCTAAGGCTTCCAAGACGCCCCAAGAAGGGCCTAGGAGGGGGCCCAAGAGGACCCCAAGAGAGCTCTAAAGGCTTCCATCATGGCACAAAGAAGACCAATGTAAAATGCTAAGCGGCTCCTGTACGGACAAATCCACGAAGATATCGATCGTCGAAAGCCTGCTCGAGCAGATACCGCAGAAGGCCTGTCCGAGCTGGTCCGATCTTCTGCCTGACGTGTCGCCCCCTTCACAGTCCCACTGCATCCTCCTAAACGTCCCAGATCGCCCGCATTGTGCTTGGGCGTCGTTTCTGAATGGGCTAGTGAAACTAATGTTTTTGAACCAGTGGGCCAAGCGCCGTGGGCTGCTGGTGGATTCGCCCGTTGGTGTCCCAAGGGCGTCCGAGACCATCCCTGGCAGCCCAGGGAGGCCGTCTGGCAACTGTCAGCACTTCTTGGGCGCAGCGAAACAGCCATCCCAAAATGTTGATCTGTGAGTGTGAGCCTGAGTGCGAGCGTAAGTGTGAGTCCGAGTGTGAGTGTGAGCGCGAGTGTGTGTGTGTGTGTGAGTGTTAGTGTGAGTGTGCGTGTGTGTTCCAGTGCTTGTGTGTTTGAATGTTTGTGTTTGTCTGTTTTGTGCTTGTTTAGTTGTGTGTGTGCGCGTGAGTGTTTGTGTGTTTGTGTGTTTGTGTGTTGGTGTGTGTGATTTCGTGTGATTTCGTGTGAATGTGTGTTTGTGTTTGTGTGGTTGTGTGTTTGTGTGCAAATGTGCCTGCGTGTCCGTGTGTTTGTGTGGTTATCCGTGTTTGTCTGCGTTTGTCTGCGTTTGTGCGTTATGTGTATGAGTGCTTGTGTATGGTTGTGTACTTGTGTTTATGTGTGTTTCTTTATGTGTGTGTTTGTGTGTTCGTGTGTTTGTGTGTTTGTGTGTGTAGGTGTTTGTGCTTGTGGTTGTGTGCGTGTCTGTTTGTGTGTTAGTGTGAATGTGTCTTTGTGTGTTTGTGGCCGAGATGGTTCTTGCGTTTGTGTTTGTATGTTTGTGGTTGTGTGTTCGTTTTTGTATGTGTGTGTTTGGTTTGCGAGGTTGTTAATGTTTGTGCTTGAGCTTGTGCTTGTGTTCGCATGTGTGTCTGTATATGTGCTTGTGCTTGTGCATGTGCTTGTGCTTGTGCGTGTGTGTGAGAGTGTGTGTGTGTGTGCATGTATGTATGTCTGTATGTTTGTCGGGGCCGTGCCGCTTTGGGAACCTCGCTTCCTGCGAGGCAGCCCCCAATAGCTGTTCGGGCCAATTCGCAAGACCAAGCCCTGCCATCCTGGCCGGCTGTTTCACGCTGCGCCCAGCCGTGGGCGGGAATCCGCGGGAGCCTCCGAGATACGCCAAGAGAACCACGCGGCCTCGAAGCCCCAGAAGGCTCCCCAAAGATCCGACGACGCCTTGACTCCGGAACTCCCAGAACGTTACTCCGGGGCCGTCTTCAGGGGGCCACATGAGAAACTTACCCCTACCCCCCACAATTTCTGAGGGGGAAGGTGGGGTCCACTTCGTTCGGGAGCTCCCGAGCGAAGTGAACCCCACACTCCCCCTCAGAAATCGTGGGGGTGGGGGTAGGGATACTAGTAGGGTTCGCATGTGGCCCGTAGTGAGACTTGGCGTCCAGAGTCGGCTTTGGGCGGTCCCGGGTCCCGGCGAGGGCGTCGAAATCACCGAGCCGAAGGCCCCGAAGCCTCCGAGCCCACGCGCGACAGAATCTGGGACCAAAGGCCCGCCGGCCCCCGCCGCGCCCTGTGCCTTGGCGGCGTGCTCTGCCGCTGCGGCCAGCTGCGCTCCCTGGACGCCCTGGTGCAGGCCGGGCACATACAGGCGCCTGGCGAGAGCAGTCGGCATCGCTCCTCCTCCTCCCCCTCCTCCTCCTCCTCCTCCTCCTCCTCCTGCTCCTCCTCCTCCTGCTCCTCCTCCTCCTGCTCCTCCTCCTCCTGCTCCTCCTCCTCCTCCTGCTCCTGCTCCTCCTCCTCCTCCTCCTCATCGTCCTCCTCCTCCTCCTGCTCCTCCTCCTCCTCATCGATATGTCGGGTCGGATCGGAATATGCGCCGGGTCGGGCCGCCCCAGCTCGGAAGGGGCCTTTTCAGACGGCTCGAAGCCCCCTGGCATTCTGAGAAGTTTCCTGAGACTTCCCAGAAGACACGAAAAACGCATCAGAAAGCGCACAGGCTTCTGAAAAGTCCCGCCGCCTGCTGAGGCGACCTTCCCTGCGCGTTCCCGCCCCCCCTCGCTCGCCGCCGAGGCTCCCTCTCTCCTCGCCACGACTGTTCGGCATTAGTGGCATACTCTCCCCTTCTGCCCCGACAGTGTCCAGTGGCGCCCCCACCCCTTCCCTGCTCCACACACCCTGCTCCTCCTGCTCCTCCTGCTCCTCCTGATCGTCCTCGTTCTCCTCCTGATCGTCCTCGTTCTCCCTCCTTCGCCCATGTAGAGAGCCTTCCTCTCGGATTGCGCCGCAGGTCACGAGCTGAAACTGCCCCATGCATACGGTTTGGTTTTCAAGTGTAGCTCACACGTCTGGCGGCGCGCACAGTCAGTCGTCTTCAAATATTCCAATAACCGAAACAATGGAAGGCTAGTCTTGTCTAGAATGTGTTGTTATGTTGTGCTATACCTTTTGGGGTTCTACACAAAATACAACAACGTTCCGATCAAACAACTGATGTTTAGCATGTTTGGTTATGTTTGTTGAACTTGTTTTAGGCCCGTCGCCGTGGACCATTGTCTCACCCTTGCTGTAATCACTCCGGACTGATCGTTTGTGCCACCGTCATTACCACACGAAAAAATCTGGCCCAGGAAGCCCACCTACGAATCAGATGTTGCGCGTGTTCACATACAATGTCCTCTACGGTGGTTCGCGTCAAGTGTCCTGCTCGCCCGTTACGGAGTATGGTTCCTGTCGTCGGTTTCCGTATAGTTTTCGCCATCTCGTAAGGGCACGGCATCATCTATTGCGCAGCGGACCTCGCGACCTCGCTCATCGTAGAGGCAAATGTCGGACGCGCTCCACAAATCCCATACTATGACACTGCAACCAAACAGGTTCCTTAACCCAAAAACAATTATTTCGGCGTCGGGGGAAAAAAACAAGATCTTCCACGCTTCGAGGTGAGCGATGTAAACATGGGCATGATATTGTGTGCCTTTTTCGGGACCTGGGATGTCCTGGTGGAGCTGGTCTGCAGCGAACGTCGCGCTTTCGCCGAGCAGGCCGCATTTCCCGACACTGGCACGCATCTGGGCCGCGCTGAGGGACCACACCCTGCGCACCCCCTCCGAAATCGAGAACATGCAACGTTTGCCACGCCACGCCTGCCACGCTTCCCGATCCGGGCACGCATAAAAGCCAGTGCCGAGGAACCTATACCCCGGCGAAGCCCCTCTGGTGTCGGAAAGGAAAAAGTGCCACGCCTGCGACGCTCTCCGACCCTGGCACGCATAGAGCTGGCGCCGAAGGACCACCCCCCGTGCACCCCCTTCTGGTGCCGAGACATTGCCACGCCAGCCACGCCCTGTGAATCTTGCAAAAGTGTTTTGTGGTGTGCGTGTCATGTGTATGATGCGTGTGCGGCTGTACCTGGACGTGCGTCTCATATGGATGTCCAGTATGTAGCGCGTACGTCGCGGGTATGCTGCAATGAACACAGCGCGCGTGCACTGGCGTTGTGACTGTGTGTGCGTGTGTGCGTGTGTCTGTGCGAATGTATGCAAGCGTGCGGCTGTATATAGACGCGCGTCTCATGTAAGTGCCGTACACATGTTGCGCGTGGGTGGGTGGCAGAAGGAAGTGGGCGACATCATCTCCCTTCCTGCCCTCACGCCATGTGTTGCATGCGTTGTGTAGCAGGAGTACGAGGAGGTACAATGAAGGCGAACTGCTTGTGCGCGCGTTGGCGCCAGGAAGAAAGGGAATCGGGGCGTCGAACGCCTGGGCAACCTTCGGCGCTCCTGGCTCAGATGCCCTGGCAAGAACTCAGCCGTTCACCGCGCAGGCCCTCTGGCGCACTGCGAGCGGGTACTGGCCCGATTCCTGGCCACCCATGACATCCGTGCTCTGGACTCCCCGCTGTTGGCACGCTACATTGCCTCAGCCGACGCCGTGCCAGCACCGGCCGCCAGGCAGCAATCGCTCCCGGACCGAAAAGGGACAGCCGAGGAGACAACGGCGCCAGAGCCCCCACCCGGACCCCCGCCGAATGCAGCTGGCACGCCCGAGCTGCCCCGCCCTGCCTGCAAGACCAACCCGCGACGCCAACCGCCCACCTCGCGCAGACGCCTCGCGCCCACCGGCCCACGCGACAGGAGAGGAAGGCGAAGGGGGGTCTCGCGACAGCACCGCGCAGGACGCC